CCGTGCAACCTATGCCCGGCGTTAGAGTGCATATTGTTGAACGTACTAACAAAAAACTCCATATTCATCAGATATACACCTGTAACAGATGCTGAAATTTGGTTCCTCAGATTGGAGAGGACAATTGGAAATCTACAAATGCTCATAAATTTTGCAATTGGCAAGGAAAACACTCGATTATTGGTTCATTAGAAAGCTGAACTCTGTCTCTAGATCTTTCATTGAGGTGATGGGGCTGTGTCCAGCTTTGCAAAGAATCTATGTGGCTTTGAAGAAGATATTTCAAAGTGACTATAGCTGCCTTGTGAGAGAAAATGAAGCCTTGAATCATTATTAAGACATTTAGAGAGAGACTGTGGCTTTCTAATGAGCCTAAAAGCGAGTCTTTTGAGCAAGAATTGCAAATTTTATGAGCATTTGTAGAATTCAAATTGTCCTCTCCAATCTGAGGAACTGAACTTCAGCATCTGTTACAGGTGTATATCTGATGAATATGGGGTTTTTTGTTAGTACATTCAACAATATGCACTCTAAAAATACAAAAAAATACTCAGATTGAAGCTCTCAACACCAGGAACAACAGCCATATTTTTTTGTATTTTTTGCCCTCCTCCTCACCGCTCAATATTTTTGTATATCAATATTTGCGTTTTCTGCCCGGAAAACATTATATTCTTTGTAGTGTTACATTCGACTTACAGTCGCTATATTTGGTAGGATACTCTGCTTAACCTAAAGACCGGTGTAAATAATGTAAACATTGAGATCTACTCCACCCTACTCCACCTTACCCGAGCTAAATTTAATGTACATACTTATGTATCTCGACGACAAGGTATTTGAATTGAAAAGAAGCCAAAAAAATCAGGGGTTATTCTACGTAATAAAAACCCCACAACTGAGACATTTCTATCTTGTATACACATGAAAAATCAAGACATTTTCCCATGGGAAAATTGATTAATTTTTTCAGAGTTATATCCATCTTGTAAAGTAAGAGATTTAAGCTGGGAAAGTTGTTCGTCCTCCAGCTGGTGTTGTCGAAAGAGCTGCACCTGTATTCTGTTACCGCGCACAAGCTCTCCTTTCGAGTTAACAGACTGTATCTCGCCGCATCTTCTGCTAATGCATACACACAAGATCATGCGGTGGGAGTGAGCTTTGGACGTGTTAAAGTGAGAATGATGACAGAAAAAAGTCAGGGTTAGATCAAGATTGAAGTTGAAGGAAGTGCAACGAAGAGGATGATTTTGCTAGGATTTCATATTCAAGAAAGCTCCTTAGGGCAGGAACAACCACGGAAAATCTTCTACATATATAACAAAACCCGGTATCACACCTTTTTTGGGGGTTGAAAGCTTTTCAAAGTTTATATGTAACGTTAGACGGTAGGCAAAAGGGCTTCTGCCGTTGAAGAAGCGAACGGTTCAAACGCATGATTGATGAGAGAGACGCTGATGTACAGCAACTAGCGTGGAGGTTATGCGGGTACTGCAATATTTTCATGTTTTCATTATGTATCACAAGAACAGCACCAAATCAAAGCAAGTCTAGAAGAGCACAAAAGAAGCAAACATGTAATTAAAAAGAAACTACGGAAAGAAAAAGAAACTATGGCTTGATATTATAAGATGAATGATAACGTAGATTACTCATTCAAGTTGGCGAATGTAATAGTGCACTCCTTCGGTAATCACGTCAGCCTGAATAGGCATATTCAACAAAAACTTCTCGTAAATCCGTTTACAGATCTCAACTGTAGAAGACTTGTGTGTGATGAATATGTCAGGTCGGTAGAATTGTAATGCATATCGAATATCGTCGAGTCGTGCTTGATGGAGTTCCGCAAGGTTCCATCTAGGAGGTTTTTTCATAAAGCGAGAGCCTTGTGAAGCATTTGATTCGTTCATTATGTACTTTTGATAGAGTGTTACGAGCTCGGTTTTGCCCATCGCATGAGTGGTTTTCAAAGTGGGCACATATTTCTTCAGTTCGTTGCGAAGTTTGAGTTTGGTAGTGGAGTTAGCGGTGAGGTCGAGCTTAGAAGAATCCTCACAGATTGGAACAGAATCAGGAGTCTTTTGTGGAAGGATGAAGGGCTTTATGATAGGTAATAAATGGGTCTTGAAAGAGTCGACAAGAATATCCTTAGTGACAGTAGATTCTTGATGTTTTGCATCGACTTCGAAATGTGCCATAATTGCACGTAAACGATCACG